ACTGTTCGCTTGCCTCGGTGTAGTCTCTTAGTCTGGGGATCGAGATGCGTGCAGGCCCGTCCAGGCTCTCTGGGGATTGCGACCTCCCACCCAAGGATCGAGAGTTTCGTGCAATGGACCGAGAGTCACGATCCGACATGGACTGGATGGTTGACAGTTGAGAGCTCCATTGGTGAATCAGCGAGCGGTCTTGCATCCGGACAAAGTAGGGTGTGCTCTGGGATTCGGAGCGCAGGCTATTGGCGGTCGGCGCGCGTACAATGGGATAATCGATTCGGGTTCCGTTGGCGAATCTGACCGTGTGCGCTTCATGAAGAGTCGGGGGCGGATGGGTGAGCGGTGGGTAGGTGGGGTCGATGCTGGTGTAGGAGATTTCCGAGAAGGCTATGGAGGCACAAGAGGTCTGTGGTCTCAGGGCGTGTTCTCGATCTCGAGAATCCGAGTCTTGTTCACAGACAGAGGATGGTCTCTCTCCGTGGGTGACACTTGACAGGTTTCCGGTATTGCTATTTTCGGCTTGGTCGGCGGCAGGAACGGGCGAAGCAGCGGCGGCCTTGGGCGTTAATGCACGATTGCGGCTCTCCAGGGAGTCTCCACCCGAAGAGGATGGGGGAACGGCACGGATTGTAGGTCTCCGATGAGGTGTGGCTGATTCCTCGGGCAATACCTCCAAACCCTTGTCCCAGTCTTTGTCCTTGTCCTTGTCTTTGTTCTTGGGCTCTGGCGTGGGAGAGGACGGGGGTGTACTTCCTTGGGAGAATCGCAACGAGGCAGGGGAGAAGGAAGTGTTGACGAGCGTGTCTGCCTCTGACGTGCTGGTGGAGGCTGAGTGTCGGAAGCCCTTCTTGCGCGAGAGGATCGGCTGTGGTGTTCTGGCTCGCGTGGCTTCGAATTTGGCGATGGTGCTGGCGACCTGGCTGCCAGCACTTGAAACACGAGATCCTGGCCTCTCAAACCCATAGCCTGGGGCATTGCGAGGGGGGGCCAGAATCTGCGATGGTTCACTGGGGACCGGGTATTTTGAGTAGACATCGGTATCATTGTCCTGCACTATGCGAATTGTTGAATTGGAATGCTGATTGGTCTGCGAGTGGGAGCGCTCATGCAGCGGTTTTCGCGTTGGCGATGCGTTTCCTGGACCAGATCCGGGTCTCGGTGGTGGGAACTTGGGAGCCTGCGAGAGCACTGCACCGATGGAATCCTGTGATGATGCGCGACGATGTGGAGGCAAGCTGGACATGCTGTGTGACCGAAGTTCAGATCCGTAACCCCCGGCTGGTGAGATGGCGAGTGCGAGTGGAGCCGCTGAAACCGATCATTAAAAAAAAATTAGTGGTAAAAAAAAACGACAAGACAGACAATTAAGGGTAAAGAATAAAAATGGCAAAGAATGGGCTAATTGAGGGAGAATGAGTGTGTATGAAGATTGGGGTCAAAAGAGTGACTGA